CTTCCTGGGGCGGGGCCTCTTAGGGCATCCTGGAGCCTCCTGAGGTTTTCCTGGGCCTCCTAGGGCCTCCTGGGGTCTCCTGAAGCCTCCTGGGCCCTCCCGGAGACTCCTGGGGCAACCTGGAGAGGATTCGTGCACCAGGAGATGCCCGATCTATAGCAACATGGGTAAAGCACTTAGGATTGGAGCCACAGGGGAATGGACATCGATATGAACAAACGCAAAACACACACAGAGGAAACGTGCCCCATCAGAGGTCCAATATATCGGAACACATTTCAAACACACAAGATTGGAGTCACAGGGGAAGGGAACCCTATAGGACGATACGTGAAACACAAAAAAGAATCGCGTTCCAAGAGAAGCCCAATCTATAGAAACGATTCGAGCCACTCCTGTGGCCTCCTGAGGTTTCCTGGAGCCTCTTGGGGGCTCCTGGTGCCTCCTGGGGCATCCTGCGGCCTCCTGGGGCTTCACGGGGGGGTCCTGGGGCCTCCTGGGGCCTCCCGGGGCCTCCTGGTGCCTCCCGGGGCCTCCTGGGAATTCATGGGGCCCCCTGTGGCCTCCTGGAGCTCACTGGGGCCTCATGGTGAGGATTCGTGCCCCAGGAGAGGCCCAATCAATAGGGACACATGTAAAACACCTCAGATGGGAGCCACAAGAAAGGGTAATACATACGAACACACGTCAACATCAAGCATTCGTGTCCCAGGAAAGGCCATATCTATGAGAACAAACGTACAACACCGAGGGTTGGAGCGAGGGGGGGCACTCTACAAGGACCTGCGCGCTAACAAACAGCCCAAGACATCCTCGCAATCTGGCCCCCCCTTGCGACGCGAAGACCAGCGCCTCACCCGAGAAAACCTTAGAATCTGCTCTGAACGCAGACAACATTGGCAATCAATACAAGCAAACCGCCAACGAAGTCCTCGCAATATGGGACTCCTGGCGTGCGAAAACCAGCGCCTCGCCCGAGACATCCTCAAAATCTGCTCCGAAAATGGAAGGCGTTGAGTGCGCAAACAAACAAACCGCTCAAGACATCCCCGCAATCGAAGCTCGAACTGGGCCGTGAGATGTCCCCTGATGCCCCCCTGAGCGCGTGCTGAAACCAGCGCCTCGCCCGAGGCATCCTCAACATGTGCTCCGGAAGCGGAGGATAGCGAGGGCGCAAACAGGCAAACCGCTCGAAACATCCCTCCATCTGGTCGCGAACGGCCCGTGAGATACCCCCATGGCGCCCCCCCGTGGGGTGCGAAAACCAGCGCCTCGCCCGAATCATCTTCAACATGTGCTCCATCAGCATCATCATCATCATCATCATCATCATCATCATCATCATCATCATCATCATCATCAGCAGCATCACCATCATCATCATCATGATCAACATGATCACCATCATCATAAGCATAATCACCACCACCATCATCATCATCACCATCATCATCACCATCATCATCAGCATCATCTCCATGGTTCCTCGGGCCCGTACTGACTGGCTGGAGGCGATCTCCAATCGCCAGTGGCCGTCACACCCGCGCGGCGGGGCGCAGACACAACAGGGTGTTCCGGACCATCGGGCAGCCGTTGCGTCTGCAACGCGCGTTTGCGGCTCCCCGCCAAAGCTCACAGCATCGGGTGATCATGTGTATTCACACCACTGCGACCACAAATCACCATCTTGCTGCACCAGATCAGGCCCTTGAGCAACGTCGGCGCAGGCTTTCACGTCCATCTACATCCTCTTGGGCTCCGCGTGTCCCTCGAACGTCGGCGGCCCGCCGCCAAGCAGTCCACAGGCTCGGTCTATCCACGTGGCGCCTTTCGACCTCTTCCTCTTCCGCGAGCTCGCTGGGATATGATATTTGGTGGACAAATCACCTCTGCCGCGGCAGCGTTGCACACCTTCATCGCGGTCCTCTGGCACATCAAAATGGTGATCATCCTTATTTGTTTCAGTCAGGCTCGGGCCTACAACAACAAGAACTGACCGCACCTGGGTCTGGCGCCCCCACCGTGCCAGCAGCGTCGCGTGATACACCTCGAGGTTTCTGTTGCACAGACTCCAAGTTGGCACCAGCGCTATGTGTCATATTGTTGTTATAATTGTTGTGGCTTCTCGGGGTGCCCCATTGATGGCATTTCATCAAACAGCGTTTCATCGGGGATTGCGTCGCTGAGTGCCTAATATTGGGATGCTTCGTCGTGGCGTGCCTCATTGCGCGCTTCATGGGAATGCATCGACATTGGGTACATCACCCTCGCGGGCCTTTCGCGAAGTCCACACTTCTTCATCCTCACAAGGGTGCTCGCAGTGTTCGTTGGGCTCTTCCTCAAGAGGCTCGGGCAAGTCTTCATATCGTTCGTTGCCGGGGCCAACAATGGTTTTGAATTGCTCCACTCGCGGAAGTCTTCGTAGTGTATTCACGAGAGGCTTCTCGGAGTTGTGATTCATGGTGTTGCGTTTGCGCGGGTACGAATGTTCATCATCGAGGCGTGCTTCATCACCGAAGTGCGCTTCGCGGAAATGTGCTTCGAGGGGGTGCATTTCATTATCCAAGCATGCTTCTCGGAGGCATCAATCTCGCAGTGTGCTTCACAGAGGCGTGTTTCAGAATGGAGGCGGGCTGCGTCGTGGAAGCGAACTTCCTCAGGGCAGCGTGCTTCATCGAAACGTGACTCACAGAGGCGTTTTTCACGGAGGCGCGCCCGAAGGAAGCGTGCTTTATGGAAGCGTGCATCGCCGAGGTGTGCGTCACGGAGGCGTACATCATTGGCGAGGCGCGCTTCACGGAGGCGTGCTTCGCGGGTGGCTGTGCGTCACGGAGGCAGGCTTCATCACGAGGCGTGTTCCATCGGGGAGGCCCTCTTCACGGAGTCCATCGTCATCGTGAAGACGTGCTTCGCGCAGGCGGACTTCATCGGCGTGCCCCTCCTTTCTTGGGCGATGGCGCCCGAGGGTCATCACATCAATGGCTCCTCGGGTCCGTAGTGCCTGGTTGGAGTTGACTTCGCGTTCAAGGGTGCGGGGTCCATGTTGGCGTCCCATTTCAGCAGCGGCAGCAGCAGGAACACCAGGAGCCGTCTTTGCGGTCGGAGGCCGCGGTGGCCGCGCTCTCGGCGGCGAAGCGGGCCCACATTGTCGCTTACCTCAGAGAGGCGTGCCGTGCTTCAGCACGGAGGCGTGCTTCATCGCCGAGGCATGCTCCACTGAGGCGCACTTCATAATGAGGTTTGCTTCATCCTGCAGGCGCGTTCCATGGTGGGGTGCGCCATGGAAACATCCTTCATGATCATGGAAGTGTGCTTCATCACTGGGGCGTGCTTTACGGAAGCGTCTTTCAAGGAGGTATACTTCATTGTCCACGTGTGCGTCGCGGACGCGTGCTTAATCATCGAGTGTGCTTTACGGAGGCCAGCTTAATCATGAAGGCGAGATTCATCATGGAGGCAAACTTCCTCAGAGAGGCGTACTTCAGCGCAGCGTGCTTCACGGAGGCGTTCTTCACGGAGGCGTGCCTAAAGAGGAGGCGTGCCTCATGGCAGCGAGCTTCACCGAGGTGTGTTCCACGGAGGTGTGCGCCATCGGGGAGGCGTGCTTCACGGAGCCGCGCTTCGAAGATGATTGTACTTCGCGGAGGTCTGCTTCATCATGGAGGCGTGCTTTACAGAAGCGTGTTTCGTTGGCGTGTCCCTCCTTCCCTGGGTGTTGACATATGCAAGGTTAACATCTCCATTGTTCCTCGGGTCCGTACTGCCTGGCTGGAGGCGCTCTCCAGTCACCGGCTGCCGTGACGCCCGCGCGGCGGGGTGCAGACAGAACAGGGTGTGTCGGAACATCGGGCAGCCGTTGCGTGTGCAGCACGCGTTTGCGGCTCCCCGCAAAAGCCCATGGCATCGGGTGATCATGTGCATTCACACTACTGCGACCACAAATCCCCATCACCAGCACCATCATCATCATCGCCAGCATCATCATCATCATCATCATCATCATCATCATCATCATCAGCATCATCATCATCATCATCAGCATCAGCATCATCAGCAGCAGCAGCATCAGCATCATCATCGCCATCATCATCATCATCATCATCATCATCATCAGCAGCAGCATCAGCATCATCATCAGCATCAGCATCAGCATCATCAGCATCAGCATCAGCATCATCATTGTCACTATCAGCATCAGCATCCTCATCCTCATCATCATCAGCAGTAGCAGCAGCATCGTCAGCATCGTCAGCACCATCTGCATCATCACCATCATCATGAGCATCCTCATCCTAATCATCAGAATCATCAGCATCAGCAACATTATCAGCATCAGCATCATCATGCTCGTCAGCATCAACATCACCACCACCATCATCATCAGCATCATCGACGTCATCAGCATCACCAGCATCCTCATTATCACTATCAGCATCCGCATCAGCATCCTCATCCTCATCATCAGCAGTAGCAGCAGCATCGTCAGCATCGTCAGCATCAACAGCATCATCAGCATCAGCATCAGCAGCATCATCAGCATCACCGTCATCATCATCAGCAACATCATCACCATCACCAGCATAATCCTCATCCTCATCATCATCATCCTCAGAAGCAGCATCACCATCGTCAGCATAAGAATCATCAGCATCAGCATCACCACCATCATCATCAGCAGCAGCATCCTCAGCATCATCAAGGTCAGCATCGCCACCATCATAGAATAACCTGAGTAGTTTAGGAGAAGAAGGACGAAGAGGAGGAAGTGGGTATTCGTGCGTGCGTGCTCGGCGCGGCCGGAGCAAGAACAAGAACCTCATCCGTAAGAGACGGGGAGATAGAACTGAATACGGGTCAGTCTGAGTATCCTGTGTACGCGGAAACAGCATGGAGGGGGAATGAGGAGGTGAAGAAGCGGAGGCGTGGCACTTAACGGCAATAATCCCATACTAAACTGCGGTGGAAAATGCGCTCGAAAGAAAACCGCACCGACCGCGCTCCTCGCCGGGACGCTCCATGCCATGCCGGACTGCGACCTGGCCGCAGTGCGTGGCAAGAGCATAAAGAGCACGAGCACTTGAGCTTCCTCCTTCCCCTGGTCTTCCTCATTCTCCCCCTCTCGATGTCTTATCCCCAAGCTTTAGAGGGCCAGTCGATGCCCTTAGCAAACGCATGTTTAATGCTTCCAGGAGTGCGAGAGCAACGACAGAAAGGAGGCACTCGCAATTAGCGATGCGAGGACAGCAACACGCCTCACACAAACAAGCCGATGACCGAGAGTCAGCACCAAGATTCGACAAGTGTCAAGGCCAATGCCGAACCAACGGGGATCGCTTTCACCCATTACCCCACCGAAGCGGGATATCTCGAAAACACAACTCACCAGTCAACTCCCCCCCATGGTCCCTCTGAAGCCGACTTCCCAACCTTCTTTCTTGTAGTCCCACCAGCCCTCGGGGCGCAGGTGATCTGCAGCGCTTCCTCTTCCATCCTCCCTCGGCCCCATCGGGGAGGGAAATATCACTGCTCCTGGTTAAGATCCGCCGCCGTGCCGCTGGGTACGGAGAGGGCGTCCTCAGGTCCGTGGCCTCATCCCCTGAGCCTCCATCCTCGATCCTGAGGGCTCTCGAGGGGCCCAGACCCCGAATTCGCAAATCTCCGTGGGCTTGCCGCGTGCCCCCCTGGGCTTGCCCTGCATCTGCCCGCGTGACCTTTGGGGCCCAGCTCCAAGCCGGGCCAAGAGAGCTTCAGAATTCTCCCAAGATGGCAAGATCGCTCCAAGACGCCCAAGGTGGCCTGCACACGGCCAAACAAAAACTCAAAGACGCCCACAAGATGGTCCCAAGACGGCCCAAGGAGCCTCCAAGAGGGCCCAAAAACGGGTCCCAAGACGACCCAAGAGGCGCCCAAGACGGCCCAAGAGGCACCAGTGACGGCTCCAAGAGGGGGCCCAGATGGGGGACCCAAACCTACATTTCGAGCCCTCGGCCCCGAGGGGCCCCCAGGAGACCCCAAGAGGCCCCCAAAAGGCCCCCAAGAGGCCACACAACTGCCCCCACGAGGACTCCGAAGAGACCCCGAGCAGCATCCCTGGGAGCTCCAGGCCCAGTGGCGGGATGGGCCGAAGGCCATCAGATCCGCCGATCCCTGTGGTCTTGTCACAGGGCTGCCCAGCGTGCTAAACGCTACCGCGCTTGGCTTTCGTTATTTATCGAAGACGCCTACGGCGAATCACCGCCGCACCCTGCCTTTTTGGAAACGCCTATGTGGCCAGAGGCCTGCCAAGATATCGGACCATGTGTTCCCCGAATCGGTTTGGAAAGCGTTCGGGGAACACGGTGGGAGAGGCTGGGCCGACTTGGGCCTTTCTTAGGGTGCTCCAGGGCCGTCTCGGAGGCCATATTGAGCGTCTTGGGGGCCTCTTGGTCCGTCTTGGGGTCCTCTTGGGGCTGCCTTGGGGGCCTCTTGGGCCGTTCTGGGGCCATACTGGAAACCTCTTGGGCGATCTTTGGGAGTTCTTGGGCCGTCTCGGGCGGTCGGCAGGCCGAAAAGAAGCAACTGTCCAAATCCTTCCAAAATTTTAGGAAATCAATGGTTTTGGCCTTTTCGGGCCTTCCTGGAGGCCCTCTTGGAGGCCTCTTGGGCCGCCTTTGGACATCTTAGGGCCATCTTCGGCCGTCTTGGTGGGCTCCTGGAACGTCTGACGCCGTCGGAAGCCGTTTGGGGCGCCTCTCTGGGCCGACTTGGGGCCCTCTTGGAATGCTCCAGGGCCGTCTTGGAGGCCATCTAAGGCGTCGTAAAGGCCTCGTGGGCCGTCTTGGGGGCCTCTTTGGGGGCCGTCTTGGGGGCCTCTTGGGCCGTTCTGGGGTCATCTTAGAGGCCTCTTGGGCGATCGTTGGGCGATCTTTGGGGGCTCTTGGGCCGTGTCGGGCGGTCGGCAGGCCGAAAAGAAGCAAATGTCAAAATCCTTCCAAAACTTTGAGAAAATCAATGGTTGTGGCCTTTTCGGGCCTTCCTGGAGGCCCTCTTGGAGGCCTCTTGGGCCTTCTTGGGCCAACTTCGAACCAACTTCGGCCATCTTGGTGGGTTCCTGGCCCGTCTGGCGCCGTCGGGAGCCGTCTTTGGGGCCTCTCTGAACCGGCTTGGGGCCCTCTTGGGGCGCTTTGGGGCCGTCTTGGAGGCCATCATGGGCGTCTTGGAGGCCTCTTGGCCCGTCTTTGTGCCGTCTTGGGGCCGTTTTGGGGGCCTCTTGGGCCGTCATGGGGCCATCTCGGAGGCCTCGTGGTTGATCTTTTTTTTCTCCTCGAAACACCCACCAGCGGATCCTGAGCGCGAACTGACTTGTGCAGCTCCTTAGCAAAACCGAAATCAGGACGAAAAGAACTCAGCTGCGGTCGGAATTGAAATCTGTGTGTTTTCCTCGGAGTCTCCCCCCCAGCGGATCCTGAGCACGGGCTGACTTGTGCAGCTTCGGGCGAATGGGATCAGAAGGAGGAAAACTCAGCTGTAGACGGACCGCGCCACAACTGCTGCCGCTGTGGTCGTTGGTTCCTGTTCAAGCCGCGCGGCACGGAGTCCCTCGCGGCGCGCTTACGGCACCGCTGTATGTTCGGTTCTGCACACGAACATAGGACGGTTCCAGACTATCAAACGAGTATTTCCATGCAGTGCATGCGGCACACCCCATCTTTATAGCGCAAGCTGGTGCCACGTTTCTGTACCCCCGGATGCAGTTAGCGGTTGTAACACGCATTCCGGCAAACGTTGTTAGCAGGAAAGCAAGCTGGCGCCATTCGAACATGGGATGGTGTAAACAATCCAGCCCGCTGCTCGCTCTAGACAAACATGTCAGCGGAGGCGTCCACGGCCGCCACATTGATCAACCACAAGCTCATCACCCCTGTGTGGTAGGCCGTCGCGTTATACACTGCACGGGTGCGCATCTTATGATCACGCCTGAAGCGCCGCACCCTGCCGCCACCCCAAGAACACGGCGTCAGGCCTGTCATGTAGCCCTTCTCGTTGCCCGGCTCGTCGCCAGTGCCATACATGACCCCGCCACTGTTGTCCGGCATGCGGTGGACCTCACAGAGCGTCTCGTTGGTCTCGTGGTCAACGAGCTCGATGGAATTGCCAGCCCAGTGAAGGTGTGGCGCCGCAAAGACCAAATCCACGAGGTCAGAACCCCAGGGCCTGGCCTTTGGCCATCGGTCAAAAAACGCAAGAGGCTGGACACTCTCTGCAATGAAAACACACTGATCTGGGGGAGTGCCCTCAGCACACGGCACAACGTCATGTTCAATATTCGTTTCACCTATCCCTGAGCTTGTGACGTCGCAGCATGCTGCATTCTCCATCTTCTTGGTAGAAGCGTTGGTATCTTCATAGTAGAAGGTGAACTTCATGTAGACCTCGTCAACAAATTTCTCTGCGCAATTCGGTGACGCGCACTCCTTGTCCGTGTCAACGACGAACATGCCGTGTTCACAACAACGCCAGCCACCCTTGTAAGTGGAGAGGTGGCACGAAGGGTTGCCAGTTGCATTGAACTCTTTGCTGCAATGGATGGGCGGATCTGCAACTTTCCCGTCGATCGTGCCTGCGACTGGATCGATCTTGCGCTGCGGAGTGCACGGGCACTCGAGCAACTGTGAAACTGCTGGAGCACCATCCATGGTCGAGTTGTCAGCGAGGTTCGTATTGATGATATGCAGCGTAGGCGCCCACGTTTCGGGCCTGCGCACCACGAGGCGGTACGGAGCCTCGAAGCGCTGCGGGTTGTGCCGGTACTCGGCCCCAGCAGCGCTGCCAAAAGAGACCAGGTTGTGGTCCGGCTTCGCCCCTGCCGCCGCAGCGTGCTTGTGGAAGGCATGCGCACCAGCACCGGTCATCCCGTGGCATCCCGTGATCTTGTGCGCGGAGTGCTCCTTGCCGGCGGCAAGGTTGATCAGCTCTCGCATCGAGTCCGCCTCCCCGAAGTACAGTATGTAATGGTGGAGGTAGTGGTCGCTCAGCTTGACAAGCGTCTCGCTGCCATTTGGGTGTTTTCGCACCATCTCTGGATCGAAGCCAGTGATCCCCATCGATGTATCACCTTTCGCGTAACGTGCGACGACGTCTGGTGGGAGTGGGAGACCTTTGCCAGAACCAACGTGCATCTTGTTGTGCACCTCGCCGTAACGCAAGCGCACGGGCTCAGTAACGACTGTAAAGCTCATCGTGCTGGCAGCCTGGCCTGCGAGACACACGTAGACTGCGAAGGCCAACGGAAGCCTCGCCGGGCACGACATGCTGGGCAGATTGATTGACCGAACACGTGGCGTCTGGAACGGGAAAGCCTTCCCAAGAGACAAACTCGAGCCAGTGGGGATTTGAGCCAAAATGGCAACGGAAGGCCTCGTGGTTGATCTTGGGGCGATCTTGGGGGCCTCTTGGGCCGTCTTGAGCCGTCGAAGGCCGAAAAGAAGCAAATGTCAAAATCCTTCAAAGCACTACGGATAATCAATGATTTTGGCCTCTTCGGGCCCTCTTTGAGGATTGGAGACCTCTTGGGTCGTCTTGGGTCGTCTTGGAGGCCTCTTGGGCGAACGTGGAGGTATCTTGGACTCTCTTGGGCCATCTTGGGGGCCGTCTTGGACCATCTTGGGCGGACTTGGAGGCCATTTTGGACCATCTTGGAGGCCACCTTGGGCCAACATGACCATATTGGAGGCCATCTTGGGCCATCTTGGAGGGTTTTTTCCCGGGATCGAGCTCCCGGGACCCCGGCGGGACGGGCCGAAGCCCCAGGGGGAGTTCTTTGGGGGAAGAAACAAACATCCCAGTGCGACCCTACCTAGGAGTTGGAGCCCCTAGGAAAGCAGCATTAGTAGTAACGGTAAAGCTAATCTAAAGCTAAGCTAAAGCTAAATCTAAGCTAAAGCTAAGCTACAGCTAAGCTAAAGCTAAGATACAGCTAAGCTAAAGCTAAGCTAAGCTAAAGCTAAGCTAAAGCTAAGCTAAGGCTAAGCTAAAGCTAAGATAAAGCCAAGCTAAAGCTAAACTAAAGCCACGCTAAAGCTAAGCTAAAGCTAAGCTAAAGCTAAGATAACGCTAAGCTAAAGCTAAGCTAAAGCTAAAGCTAAAGCATAAATTAACGCTAAAGTTAACGCTAAAGCTAAAGCTAAAGCTGAAGCTGAAGCTAAAGCTAGTGGGCGCAAATGGGGGAACCGCGGGGCGGGGACTGGGGGAACCGCCCGGGACGGCCTACACTGCCCGGCCCCTTTAAGCAAAACAAAGTATGAACCCTCTAGGCAGAGCCTAGGTAGGGAAAAAACGAAATCGTCTAGCACCCCAGGCACCCCTGCGATGAATCGACAGGGGGCGGGGGATCCAACAGAACTCCCCTAGGGGCTTCGGCCCGTCCTGCCGGCTACCCGGAAGGCCCTGAGAGGCCGCAAACAGTCAGCAAAAAGCTCTTCAAGTTGGAGCAAGATGGCCTCCAAGATGGCCACGTTGGCCCAAGATGGCCCAAGATGGTCCAAGATGGCCTCCAAGACGACCCAAGCCTCCAAAACGGTCCAAGACGGCCCAAGAGGCCCCCAAGAGGGCCTCCAGGAAGGCCCGAAGAGGCCAACATCATTGATTTTCCCTGGGTCTTTGAAAGAAGTTGGCAACTGTTGATGTTCTGCCTTCCGACGGCCCGAGACGGCCCAAGAGCCCACAAAGATCGCCCCAAGATCGCCCAAGATGACCTCCAAGATGGCCCCAGAACGGCCCAAGAGGCCCCCAAGGCCCAAGACCGCCCCAGAAAGGCCCCAAGACGCCCAAGATGGCCTCCAAGACGGCCCTGGAGCATCCCAAGAGGGCCCCCAGTCGGCCCAGAGAGGCCCCCAAGACAGCTTCCGACGGCGTCAGACGGGCCAGGAGCCCACCAGGACGGCCCAAGATGGCTCTAAGATGGCCCAAGACGGCCCAAGAGGCCCCAAGAGGTCTTCAAGACGGCCTAAGAGGCCTCCAAGAGGGCCTCAAGGAAGGCCCGAAGAGGCCAACATCATTGATTTTCCCTGGGCCTTTGAAGGAAGTTGGCATTTCTATATTGTCGGCCTTCCGACGGCCCGAGACGGCCCAAGAGCCCCAAAAGATCGCCGAAGTGGCCTCCAGGATGGCCCCAGGACGGCCCAAGAGGCCCCCAAGACGGCCCCAAGAAGGCCCCCAGACGACAAGAGGTCCCCAAGACGCCGAAGGTGGCCTCCAGGACGGCCCTGGAGCACCCCTGGAGGGTTTCAAGTCGGCCCAGAAAGGCCCCCAAAACGGCTTCAGACGGCGTCAGACGGGCCAGGAATGCCCTGAGACGGCCAAAGGCACCCGAAAAGCCCCCAAAGGCCCCCAAGAGGCCCATGGAGGCCCCCCCCAAGATGCCTCCAAGAGGCTCCCAGGAAACTCCCGGGGCCCGGGAGGCCCCAAGAGTGCCCCCAGAGGCTGCCAAGATGTCCCCTCTTCCTCCTCTTCCTCCTCCTCCTCCTCCTCCTCCTCCTCCTTCTCCTTCTCCTCCTCTTCCTCCTGATCTTCCCCGCCATCCTCCCCCAAGTGTTCTCCGAAGGGTTTCCACAATGGTTGTAGGAACACATGGTCCGATAGCTTGGCAGAGCTCTTGCCACAACGCTCGGCCACATGGGCGAAATCAAAAGGCAGGGGGCGGCGGTGATTCGCCGCAGGCGTCTTCGATCAGCCGCCCCCTGTTGATTCATCACAAGGGTGCCTGGCGTGCTGGATTTCTTAGGTCTGGTGTTGGCTCTTTTCTGAACGAACTCTCCCCTGGGCCTCCAATCCGTGCCACCAGCCCCCTGGAAAGGCCTGCAAAGGAGCACAACGTGACGTGCGCAGAACTCTGGTTCAAAAACGGGCGTTTTGCTTGAGACACCCTCAAGCAATCGCGATGTCGGAGGTCCCAGCCCAAAATGTCTTAGGATACACATGAACGATTCGCGTGAGACATCCTCGAAACATGGAGGGGGTGAAATCGATTGCCTCAACTTCGGATCTTCACAAACGGCCGTTTCGCCAAGACATTCCGAAACGAACCGCCTGCTATCAAAGAGCCGATCGAAAACCAACTCCACGATGGCTCAAGGTGCGAACATGTTGAAGGTTTTGAAAACACGTGTGCTCAAATCAAGCGTTTCGCTGGAGACGTCCCCTCAGACTTGCCTTCGGGAGCGCTCTCGGGTGACCTGCAAGATGGTCTCTTCCTCCTCGCCATCGTCCTCCTCCTTCCCTTCCTCCTCCTCCTCCTCCTCCTCCTTCACCTCTTCTCGTCATCCTCCTCGTCTCTCCTCCCCCCTCCTCTTCCTCCTCCTCCTCCTCCTCCTCCTCCTCTTCCTCCTCCTCCTCCTCCTCCTCCTCCTCCTCCTCCTCCTCCTCCTCCTCCTCCCTCCTCCTCCTCCTCCTCCCTCCTCCTCCCTCCTCCTCCTCTCCTCCCTCCTCCTCCCTCCTCCTCCTCTCCTCCCTCCTCCTCCTCCTCCTCCTCCTCCTCTCCTCCTCCTCCTCCTCATCCTCCTCCTTCCCTTCTTCTCGTCATCCTCCTCCTCTCTCCTCCCACTCCTCCTCCTCCTCCTGCTCCTCGCACGCGCGTTCTTCCAATGCCTCACTGACCAACTCGGGGAACACATCGTAAATGTGGGTCGGTGATCAGTTCGAAATGCTTTCGGGTGACCTCCCAGATGACCTAGGAAGTAAAACAGTTGAAACCCATGGCAGTTTCATACATGTGTACGAACGTAGGCGGCTCGATAGAGGCATTCTCCCAACATTGCCTCCGGGAGCGCTCTCGGATGACCGCCGAGTGGGCCGAGAAGTGCACACAGTTATCTGAAAACTAGCCTGACGAAAGACCCAACCATACGTAGTTGTGAATACCGCAATTGTGGATACATTGTTCGGTGGCGCCCCCGGGCCACGAAACGAGTGAGGGGTGTGCCGAAATGGAGGGGGTGGAACCGCATGCGAGCGCAGCCACTGGGGCGCTCGGTGGAGCTCCCTATGGAGCCACGAAACGTGTGAGGGGTGTGCCAGAATGGGGGGTGGAACCGCATGCGGGCGCAGCCACTGGGGCCTTCGGTGGAGCTCCCTATGGGGCCACGAAACGTGTGAGGGGTGTGCCAGAATGGGGGGTGGAACCGCATGCGGGCGCAGCCACTGGGGCCTTCGGTGGAGCTCCCTATGGGGCCACGAAACGTGTGAGGGGTGTGCCAGAATGGGGGGTGGAACCGCATGCGGGCGCAGCCACTGGGGCCTTCGGTGGAGCTCCCTATGGGGCCACGAAACGTGTGAGGGGTGTGCCAGAATGGGGGGTGGAACCGCATGCGGGCGCAGCCACTGGGGCCTTCGGTGGAGCTCCCTATGGGGCCACGAAACGTGTGAGGGGTGTGCCAGAATGGGGGGTGGAACCGCATGCGGGCGCAGCCACTGGGGCCTTCGGTGGAGCTCCCTATGGGGCCACGAAACGTGTGAGGGGTGTGCCAGAATGGGGGTGGAACCGCATGCGGGCGCAGCCACTGGGGCCTTCGGTGGAGCTCCCTATGGGGCCACGAAACGTGTGAGGGGTGTGCCAGAATGGGGGGTGGAACCGCATGCGGGCGCAGCCACTGGGGCCTTCGGTGGAGCTCCCTATGGGGCCACGAAACGTGTGAGGGGTGTGCCAGAATGGGGGGTGGAACCGCATGCGGGCGCAGCCACTGGGGCCTTCGGTGGAGCTCCCTATGGGGCCACGAAACGTGTGAGGGGTGTGCCAGAATGGGGGGTGGAACCGCATGCGGGCGCAGCCACTGGGGCCTTCGGTGGAGCTCCCTATGGGGCCACGAAACGTGTGAGGGGTGTGCCAGAATGGGGGGTGGAACCGCATGCGGGCGCAGCCACTGGGGCCTTCGGTGGAGCTCCCTATGGGGCCACGAAACGTGTGAGGGGTGTGCCAGAATGGGGGGTGGAACCGCATGCGGGCGCAGCCACTGGGGCCTTCGGTGGAGCTCCCTATGGGGCCACGAAACGTGTGAGGGGTGTGCCAGAATGGGGGGTGGAACCGCATGCGGGCGCAGCCACTGGGGCCTTCGGTGGAGCTCCCTATGGGGCCACGAAACGTGTGAGGGGTGTGCCAGAATGGGGGGTGGAACCGCATGCGGGCGCAGCCACTGGGGCCTTCGGTGGAGCTCCCTATGGGGCCACGAAACGTGTGAGGGGTGTGCCAGAATGGGGGGTGGA